CCTCCGTGAAATGATCTAACAGTTCCGAAAAAAATTGGCGCCGCTTATTTGGCTAAAAATGTTACGATGGGCCGGCATATCCGTCCAGTATTGAACTTGCAAATCGGTAGATTTTGACTCCCAATCAATCGATCCTCCAACAAGAAGTTTAGTTTTACTTGTTATACGTACATACCCGCTTAATCTCTATTTTGATACGTCATCGAGTCAGAAGTTTTACCGCCCATAGACCGAATCAGTGACACCCACGTCAACGAAACACGCGAACGGGTCAACCTCGCAGACAAAACCGTCCGTGCATGCGCTTTCATGCGGTCGCGTGATCATCATTTAATAATGATATAATCTCCAGTTAAGTGGATCCGGATCCGACCCAAATCGGAAATCCTATAGCTAGCACGTACACGTACAACAATTGGATTGATCTAGTGACCTTGTATATCCTTGTCGGGTTCGGACTCCCAACTTGATTCCAAATCAAACAAATCATTCCGTTCAATTTGGACCCGGGCCACGCACGATCCTATTGTTGGTCGAACAAGCTAGAAGCCTATATATATATAAACCCCAGTGATCACCAGCTGCACCAAAGATAGAAGAAGAAGAAGAGTGCAAAAAAAAAAAAAAAGTAGTAATATTATGCGGTGGAAGAAGAAGGTGAGTGATCTATCCATGGCTAAAGAGCGACTGCTCGAGAGGAGGACGTCGGCGGCGGCGGAGGAGGCCGTAGCGAAAGCTGGTCACGTTCCGGTGCTGGTCGGGTCGGACGACGACGGAGCAGAAGCGGAGAGACTGATGGTGCCGTTGAAACTGTTTAAGAAACCACGCGTAAAGGCTCTGCTCGACCGCGCTGCCACGGAGTACGGGTACTGCCAGCAGGGCATCCTGAGGGTACGTTGTGATGTAGAGCAGTTTAGGCAGGCGATTAGAGTGAGTGGCATCAAAATTAAGGAGTAGATAAAAGTTGAGAGTTTTTTTTTTTCCTTCGGCCCCCTGCGTACTGTAGCTGAGAGAGAGGGTGTGCCCCAAGGTGTGGCTGGGGGTGTGTCTGTAGTGCCATCCTTATTCTCAAGTTCGAAAGTAGATGTTAATTTGTTCTTGTTCATTTTGTCTTTCATCCAAATTTTTGCGTGAGACGTGTAGTGCAGTAATTATAACAAAATGAAAGTTGAGAAGTTCATTAAGGTTCGTAATGAAGGAAAAGATGACACATCGCTTCCTCCTCTTGAACACAGAAGGAAGATTTAGGGTCCCCTGTCCAACCCTTTTCAATCAAGTTAAGGAGCAAATCTAGATAAATGATTCGGATGTTATTACTATTTTGTTGTTCTTATTCGCATCTCAATTAAGGAAATAAATACAGCCATAAGGCCCGATTACATTTTTTTTTCCTTTCAACTTGATAGGTAAAGAAACAAAAACATGTTTTTTGATATCTCTAATGCTACTTAAATAATCCAGTAGAACCACTGACTTTGTCGTTGTTCTTGAAAATCAACTAAATTCAATAACATGGCTTTGAATTTAGGTAGGGGTGTCCAAAAAGCCCGCAGGCCCGGCCCGGGCTTGGCCCGGAAACCCAAGCTAG